CCGTAACCGGGGGAAAGCGGGGGGGGGTCCCCGAAGTCCGTGCCCGGGGGGAAGCCGGGGGTCTCTGGGTCTCCTCATTCTGCGCCGGGGGACCCCCAAGTCCATGCCCCGGCGATGCGCGAGGTGGGGGGGGGGACCCCAAAGTCCGTACCCCGGAGAAACCGGGTGTCCATCCCCCCCCCTTTCAAGTCTGTCCCCCCGGTGGGGGTTGGGTGGTGGGTGGGAAGCCTCCGTGGGTGCCCCCCCACCCCACCCCCCTTTCCCCGAGGGGGGGTCAGTAGGCCGGCACCTGGTGCTGGTGCTGGGGCAGGAGCTGGCAGCCGCTGTTGACGTGGCTGAGGACCTTCTGCTTGAGCTGGGCGACCTGTTCGCGGAGGAGGCTGGCGGTGGAGGCCAACTCCGTGTTCTGGCTCTTGAGGCTCTTCACCTTCTCCTCCAGGCGGGAGATACGCTCCAGCTTCCTCTTGCGGCACTTGGAGGCGGCGATGCGGTTCCTCAGCCTTTTCCTTTCCGCCTTGATCCGTTCCTGCGTGTCCATGTCGATGGGGGAAAGAGGGGGGCTCTCCCCAAAACTCGGCACCTCCGGGACGATCTGAGGTTCATCTTTTAACGGTGGAGGAGGAGGAGGAGGAGGGGGAGGGGGGGCGAGCCGTGGCGGAGGAGCGGCGAAAGGACCGGGGTCGGCGGCGTAGCTCACCGCCGGGTAACTGCTGAGATTGGCGTAAACCGGAGGCTCCGGGGCCAAACCGGCGGAGGGCAACTCTCCCGCTCCACCGCTGCTGCTGCTGCTGCTTCCTCCACCACGTCCTCCTCCTCCTCCTCCGCCGCTCCCCGCCGCTCCGCCGCCGCCCAGCTGGTTCTGCTTGTGCAAGTCCTCCAGCGCTTTAACGAAACCCTCGGCGAACTCCTGCTCCTCGGATGCGGCGGCTTTGGAGTAGAGGAACTGGCCGCTGGTGGGGGTGGTGGTCACCAGCCCGTTGGACTGGATGATGAGCCGTTCCAGCTCCGGGGAGGCCAGTTTGAGGAGCCCCAGGTCGGCCGAACCCAACAAACCCCCCGCCGCCGCCGCTGCTGCCGCTTCACCGCCGGTAGCTCCGGGAGCTTTCAACGCCGCCGCTACCTGCTCCGGTAAGGCCATCCCGAGCGCGTCCTTCTTCATCATGCTGCCGCCGGGGAAGGGCAGAAGGAGCCCGTTGTTACCGGAGGATGGGGCGAAGCCGCTGCCGAGGCCGCTCAACACATCATCATGGTAGAAGGGTGTTTCCATCCTCCTCCCCCGCCCGGCTGCGGGGGAAACGGGGGGCCGGGACGGGGGGGAGCCACCGGGTCCGAGCACCAGGGACCAGGACTGGCCACCGGGTCCAAGCACCGGGGCTGGGGACTGGGACTGGCCACCGGCTCTGAGCATTGGGTCCAAGCACCGGGACTGGGCACCGGGACCAGGTCCAAGGACCGGGCACCGGCCACTGGGTCCGAGCAGCGGGTCCAGGGACCGGGACTGGCAACTGGGTCCGAGCACTGGCCACCAGGTCCAAGCACTGTGACCGGGCACCGGGTCTGGGCATCGGCCACTGGGTCTGAGCACCGGGACTGGGCACTGGGACCAGGACCGGGCACTGGCCACTGGGTCCAAGTAGCAGGTCCGGGGACCGGGACTGGCCATCAGGTCCAAGCACTGGCCACTGGATCTGAGCACCAGGTCCAGGCACCAGCCACTGGGTCTGAGCACCGGGACCAGGTCCAAGAACCGGGATCTGGCCACAAGGACCAGGAACTGGCCACCAGGACCGGGATCTGGCCACTGGGTCCAAGTAGCAGGTCTGGGGACTGGGACTAGCCACTGGGTATGAGCACTGGCCACTGGGTCCAAGCACCAGGTCCAGGCACCGGGCACTGGGTCTGAGCACCGGGACCAGTTCCGAGCACTGGGCACTGGCCACCGGGACCAGGAACTGGCCACCGGGACTGGGATCTGGCCAC